ACAAAGGTGATATCTATCTTGAAATTATTTGGAAATATTACCCTTCCTCAGACATAACTCACAAACTTACTCCATATTACCAAGAAAGAATCCATGAAGCTACTGATCTGTCAGTTAATGAGATATCTAGCATAACGAAAGTATAAGGACGTGAGGTGAAAAACACCTTCTCTAATAGTGAGGTGTGTCCTCATATCACACATTAATATGTGCGTAACGTTGTTAAGATCAGCTTTTTGTGTTCATTGTTGAATACATTCAAGCTAGGGCACAACTGACTGGCAATGCTGTGAAGTTAAGTCTATTAACCAAGTATTTCGTTTATTCACTCCATGTAAGAGGCAAATTCATACAGTTTTCAATTTCCTTTATCTATCAATAGTAGGCATAGATAAGTACATCAGGAATAAGATCAGGAAAAACGAATGAAGTCAAAAATTACATTAATCATATCACCGATATGCATGAGATCTTTTTTTCTTTTCCGGTCATAATTGTTTAGAAAAGGAAATGGCTGAAAAAATCAACTGGAGTGCTAGTCACGTTCCCCATTGGACCAGTGAATAACACTGTGACGTCTGAAGCAATAGGTTTTGGGTTCGAATCTCATCGAGAAAAACATCATTCACTGGGATGAAGATATATATCCAGGTGATAAACCTTAAATGGACGAAAAATGCCTCCTGGATTCTACTGCTAGTCGCTATCTATCATTAATAGAAAACTGAAACTACAGGCAATGTCAAGAAATCCGCGTGAAAGCCTATATGTCAATAGAGACTGGTGAATTCTGTTCAATTAAAGACGGGATAAAACAAGCAAGAACAAGAAAGTAAGTGTTGGACACCAAAATAATACATCCGGTACTCGTTACAGATGATGTAAAAGTAATAACCAACTTTATTCATCTTAACCAAATAAATACGTCTACTTGGTGTCAAGGTAGGCCAGTCTGTTTTCTTGATACTATTAGATAGTTGTGTAATCGAAACTACTTAAAATTAATACGTATTCACCTTTCCGCCCTGGAGTAAGCATTTCTGAAAGGCGTGATAAATCTCCTCATATCTAAACAGTCCTTATTTTTAAAGGCATGTCATCAATCACAAAAACGGTAACACTAATAATAATCTTTAATAATCACCTACATATAAGTTTATTACTCGACGAATTGCGGCTTTTGTGTGGAAATTGTAACCTTACTTCACTGTCCAAACTAACTTGGATGGCATACTGTTTAAAATGATCTTTTGATTGAAAAATGACTTCTTTACTCACTGTATTACAATCATTCATGGAAGGCTTTACAAAAGACTACATATGGTCTATAGAAATGGGTGATAAGACAAAATACACCAAATTCATCCACTTGTTTACTACATGCAGTCACAGGGTATCACTATTCCGTATCAAACAATTTTTTCGAGTCTTTTTCTTGTTACTTATTTTGCTCATCAGTATGTCTACGATCACTTTAATAATTATGAACTTAGTCAACCTATAAGTTAACTAATTTGTGGTAGACCGATTTGCAGGGTGAGTATAACTTACTCATTTTGAGTAAAAATTAGTCTGTTTAGTCGTCTATTTTCTTATCGAAATGATAGTAAATTGTGCTTCTATTCAACTATAAACCCTTAAGAATGTACAGGCATTTGTAAGTACACCTTAGATGTACAGATTTCTGAATTTGCTTGAATAAATATTTATTTGGATAAGGTCGTTTTCCAAGTTCAAAAGGATAATAAAAATTTTCCACTGTATGATATCACAAACTGATAGCAGTGGGTAAATGTTGACCAGTGGATTCTGACCCAATGTCTCAATGGTGACGTCTCTGCTGCAAAATTTGAAGGTCCCCGATTGACAAATTGGCCATTCTATGGATGTACATAGCTAAGGAGTCATATCTTAGGACGAATCAGTTGTCCAGTGCTCTCAGGTTTTCAGTGGTTCTCCACCTGATGTCAATGCGTCATGAATATCATCTTGAAACCAACAAATCTTCATAAACCTTCAAATTAAAAAGAACCATGGATTTATGTATTTCATTACACTTGCACATATCTAAAAGGTTTCCTTCTTGAAGTATCATTAAAGTATTTCTGCTAATAATCAATATATAACTCCCTAATTGGGTATTTACTTGAACACAAATTTCACATTGAACACTGAACTAGTTTCCTCTATAGTCACGATGATAGTGTGATTTCCATTGGTTTCATCATCCATCAACATAGGACCAGATATTACTGCGTCACGGTCCAAGTTCCCACACCTCATATCAGCATACCAAGTATAAAGGCAGTGAAGTGGAAGATGAAGATAAGGAAACTCAGTCAAGAGAAATACAAAGTACTAAAGGAAAGAAAGGAAGCATGAGAAAATGGTGAGAATCAGTATAGTGTTGTTAAGATGAGGATAATGTGTGTATGCATTTGCGCCACTGACATTGGTTCTGAGCCATGTCATAACCTAGGGTCTCCAACCACTGGTTCCTCCTGTCTTGTGAACCCCAACCGGCTAGTCTGCATTACCCCACATGGCTCAAACCAACAGTCGAAGACTTCATACATTGGTGCCATGTTTTAGTCTGGCCACCTCGGGCCTTCTTCCAGCCTGAACCTACTTCGGCCAATATTGTGTGACGAGGCAATCGGTGACTAGGCGTACGTAACACATGTTGGAGCCAACCATCTTAGTCGATGAAGGTTCACAACCGAGTCAACTGACTTACCTCTTCTCCCTAAAACTCTACACCTGAAATCTGCGTTACTGACGTGGTTACATCAAGAAATATGGCCTATACTACGAAGGCAACGGTAGTCAAAAACCTGAAGCCTGTCTTCTCCTGTCTTCCATTTTCAATGGCCATGTTTCACAGCTATAGAGCAGAACAAAGCGGACTGCCGTGTAGTACACGCGACCCTTAATAGACTGTCGGATATTACGGCGGCGCCACAGGTGGTATAATTTGGTTCATTTGTGGTTTCCTTTCCATCGGTTTTCTGTGACTAATTTCTTGCCTAATTGGGATTATTATGTGCATAACCTGAATGTTATTTGCAGCTTGTTGAATGAAAGGCATAATCTGGCCGATAATCTTTGCTACGTAAAATCCAGTTGCATACACACACAGATTTGAGTTTAGTGCCGTCATGAATAAAATTTAAGTCAAAAATCTCTTAGTGATGGAACTGAGAAAATGATACAATTTATTCAATAACCCTTATACGCTTACTATATGTTTAGTTGACTATCTGTAATGCTGATAACTTCGGATAAAAAATAAGATTTTGTGTTCATTTTACTTTCAGTGTACTTAATTTTAACAGACGGATGGTCGTACGACAAAAAACAAGTAATATAACATCTTTTCTCTGCAGAAATCTACTAAGATTGTCTGAAACAGGTGTCCTTATGGGAGCCTATCTGCAAACAGAGGTGGAATAATTCGACTCTGCATGACAACAGACAATTTCACGTGTCAGACAGCAACTGATACCCGTTGCACAGTAGGCGGCTTATGTGCTCCAGTGGCCTAGTGGATAACGCTTTGGCATTCGAAGCGACAGATACTGGGTACGAGTCTCAGAGAGAACACCACTCACTGAGGTGCCGATACATCTAGCTAACGAGTCCCAAATAAGAAGGAGCGTGCGTCCTGGGTTCCACTGCTAGTCATCAAAATGAATACAACCTTTTCTTACCCCTAGTTCTGCAAGTTAAAGGGCGATACCATTAAATTATTGACTATTATTATTATTATTATGAAGCATCATATTACATTCAGAATCCGTTATATGCCACCTCGGTTGAGTGAAAAGATTGAATCAAGGACACCTCGGTTCAAGTATTCTCATGTAAATCCACTAGTTACAAGGAAGTAACAATCAGAGAAAAGTGTTATGTGAGCTAGTTAATGAAATAAATTGAATAAGTCATAGCAACAACTTCATAACCAGTTGGAGACGTAGGCTGTACATACCCTGATGAATTGCATATTTCTCTCACTTTTTGAGACTGTTCTAAAAACTAGACTATTTCTTATTTTCTCAGTTTGTCTATCCGAAACGGCCTGGGTTTGGCACACTTGTATTGATACTAGGTGACGACTGAAAATTTGGGCTCGCCAGGACTCAAACAAGCGACCACCAGGTTTCCGGCCCGTTGCTCTACCAAGTGACCAACGAAACTTAACCCTTGACCAAGGGTTTTTCCGACTGTCATATAAATACATGACGCGTTACTACCACTTGGTTGTACTCACACTGGCTGCTCAGTCATGACTTACCAGCCCAATCCAAAACTAACCGAATTACAGAGGGGGAGCATCATACTGATTATCATTTTGACTATCTGTGATAGCCGTGGTTTGACAGGCTTGCATTATTGATACTGTGTGACGACTGATGTTGGAAATTCACGTTGTGGCAGCATTCAGAGACAGTCTATGGTCGAAGAAAAGTCGAATACTAGGATGTTTCTACTAAGTTTCTGGTCTTAGTATTCTTTCAGTGAATGAATACCGGTATGGATGAATTGCAGATTTCTATCGAAACGAAATGTTTTTAATAAATGGCTGGGTTGATAGATCAGAATTTGGGAATATTCCCCAACATAAATTCACTTAACCCAATAGTACGCTATATTGACTGTTCTACGCTAGTGTACCTTGACACAAGTAAACTTATCAGCATATATTTTCCTAACCCATTACATTTCTACACCAGTTGATCAGATAGTGTGCACTTTAAGTATAACAGCGAAGAACAGCTTAGGACATTAAAACAGGGTGTCTTTTTTTCTATTTGTCGACACGTGGTTGCTTCTACATAGAATTTTCTACCCCTATGGTGATTATTTCTCTAAATTTTCACCACACAAATAATCTCGATTGGTCAAGTGATACATTTATCAAATGAAATTTTTTTATCCAATCATAGCCTACGCAAACACTAAAGCTATAAAAAATTGAGTTCATTATACGGTTATACTACCGACACAACAGTGTACTCCTCAAGAAATGACTGAACACAGCAATTTTGTAAAGAGCTACAAAGTGTCAAAAGGAAATGTTACTATTCAACCTGCGCGGTGCTTATTTAGCTCATTGGAAAATAAATTACTCCCAACATCGCAAAAGAGCAACTACAGAGACGTAAACAGAACAGTTATCAGTAAAAATTACCAACAAGAATTAGCGCAAATATGTCAGAAAAATGTAGAAGAATTTCGTCAATGTTACAACTTCGATTTGAATCTCATGAAACCTGTCGATACTGAGAACAACAATGACCACCATGAAAGTGATCAAGAAAATCAACGCGAAGCCCAATCTACAAACAAATACCTGTGTCACCAACAACGAAGCGATCAAAAACAAACACACAAACAAACATGGAACTGGGAAGAGTTGGACAGCAGGAAAACTTATATCCCACCTTTCTATTTAAGTAGTGGATATCATTCGGATAGTTATCTGCTACAACCTGATTGTGTAAGGAGCTCAGTACCACCAAATACTCCCTGTAAGAGTACAATGAAATCGTTTCGAAATTATTCAGGCAATAAACTTGATTCGTCTCATGTATTCGTATCACAGGGTTCATTAGTGTCGAGTGAAACAGATGAGACTGAACCACAACAAGCGAACCCACTTACTTGTAATTCAGTACCATCAGTGCTACCCGTGTTGCGTGTAAACAGTCGGCGAATCAGGCAGACATTATACGAAACGGGATTGTCTATTAGGACTTCAAAGCATGCGGGTGATGTACTTGTGAGGAGTAAAAGTGAAGAGATGGTTGGTCAGAAAAATAATTCACAACCCGTTAAACACTTCAATCACACCAACTTTATCCATTCCGCTGGCTGTAAAAATCCAAGCGATTCATGCCCCCTGAAAGATCATAATGATGGAGTACTAATTAGGGAAACTGTGTCATCTTTAAATTCAAATGTGAAATGGATTACCTGTCCTGTCATTTCAAGGAGGTTTAATTTGAAGCAGTTAAAGCTGACAGGTCAGTCTCCAAACTTTCTTATTTTCATTTTGGAAGTTGATAGGGACTTATTTTTTGATTTCAGGTTGGTATTCATCAAGAAGGAGAACCACTGGAAAGCCGGGAGCACTGGACGGCTGTTGTTTCGTCCCAATATGGGACTCCTCAGCAGCCCGTGCTCATAACCCCACTCCGTCAGGGATCTAACCTAAAAACCTTCACGTTCTGGGGTCAGCACGTTACCATCAAGCCACTGGGTCGGAATCTAATGGTCCATATTTCCTACTTCTGTCAGTTCTTATTTTGTTTACTATGGCATTCGTTGTTAAGATATCTATTTTTATCCGTTTATGCATACAGTAACCAATTCAATTTATGAAATCAGTTCTTTAGGAGACGAAATCCTGAATGCTAAGTAATGATTGTGATAATGAATACTGGTGAATCTAGTTGCATAATTTATTGTGGTTGATATTTTTATAAATCCTAGCTAGAGTCATTTCATACACTTTCACTCATTTTAGGCCAATAGGTAATTCAGGCCTGTAAAGTAATCACAGCGTGAAACATCTACAGCTTTCCAAGTCCCCTATTATTGGACAGTAATCAACTCGTCTGCAGTGTGCAGTACATGACAGTTGACTAAGATCTACATTATTTAATCAATCAAACAGGAAATGCTCATTGTAGTTTTGTGATGCTTTCGTCAGCTTCAGTCTACTTATTTATGACTGCATAGTATATAGGGATGATACGGAGTGGTTTATTACAAAAATCGGTCCATACAAAGCTCAGTCAGAAGGATAATCTTCTCGAAATCAACAGTGATAAAAACAGCCGGATACTGTGAGTCGTCAAACAGTATAGAGACATCGTTCTTACTTCTTCATGAGGATGTATAAAAGATTCTTTACAAGTGAGTGATGGCTCTTCATCAAATGAGAAGCCGCATTGATTAACAGACCTTCTTTGATTTCCTTCAGTAACAAAGTACGCATTCTGTACACGTCATTAATTTATTCGAAGATGTGGTCTTGCACTTTCAAGTATTTTGATCCACTCAAAAATGGTTCAGTTATCAGCATTCTCCACTGATTGCATTCCTATAGGTGCAAAACTTTGGCACTGTGGTAGAATTTAATTCCATATCAGATTTGTTTATTTTATTTATAACACAGTGATACATTATTATTTACTCGATGAAGTTTTGGAGCATAAATTATTGCTCATAATCATATCAATGTAATCATACTACTCTCCATATTTGATTTTTATAGTTATGTCACCTCGTATGAGTTGTCTTTATTGGTAGTCAAATTTTTCATGTCTGCGGCATAGATGGTGCGTCATTTCTTTTGCATGTGTTGGGTGTCGATTAGGGGAACAAAGATTCAGTAATCAATCTCTCTCTTCACCTAATTTACTGGACTAGAATATAGTGACTTTATCCCACCCTATTGTGTGGTTGTATATTAATGCATGCATAGCAATAGCCGAGTTTTTTCTAGATTATTGATCTTATTCAGGTCTGTTATTTTATATTTAGATAAATTCCTATGTTCGGCTATTCTAATTGACCCCGACAGCTGAGTTTAACCTATATACTTGATGTCACAGTCATTACATGAGATTTGATAGATCAGATTATCTTGCTTAACTGGATCTAGCGGATCCTTAAGCCAACAAAGCTTATCTCTGAGTGAATTTGTAGGTTTAAATGCCACCCTAATTCCAGCTCTATTGACGATCTTACTTGAAATTCCTGATGTGCCTTCTTTTTAGGATAACACAATTGAAGCTGTAAACTCCTTTCTACTCGTGTTGTCGTTATTATTCTTACAAACCTGTTGAGTCTCATACTCGAAAGAAATAACTGTCCAGTGCTCCCATTTTTCCAATGGTTTTCTAACTGATGTCAGTTTTTGGGAAGTACCGACGTTAAATCAGTAAATAAGGCACCACAAACCTCAAATCATTATCTCTTTGTCTACTTGAATGTTTTCGAAGCACCATTTTCATTGTGTTGAACTTATAAATGCATAAACAAATGGAAGTATGCAAATCAGTCACCAGTGTGAGACATATAGTTGTCCAGTTTTTATTGTTCGACGATGATCAACAAACTTTGATCAGAGTTAATCACTGAGCACTATGCAGCCACATTGGCTGCCCACTGGTCACCAATTTGTGTACATAACCCAGTCATACAGGGAAGTACTTGTGACCCGAGTGGATTTCAGATACGCCTCACTGATGTGTCCCGCTAAGCTAAGAAGCCTGGTCTGGAGAGTCATACCAACAAGCCCACAACATCTGACACAAACTTAGGTAGTATAACAATTACAAAACTACTCCAACAGTCATCTCTTTGGTGAACACTATCTGTTAACTTGTGAAGTCAGTTATAGAGACCAACTGCATTACATAACGAATGAACCGGTTCATTACTAAATCCAGTTGTTCCTTTCTTCCCATGTTCAGTCAGTTTGTCTACTAGTCCATCAGCCATTTCATCAGTTTGCATAACTTTCTGAAATAAAGCTGGGGTGAAACTTTTTATCAAAATAAATCAGTAAAATGTCAATTTGAGACTACTAGAATTTTCCCTAATTTATTTTGATTTCAAAACTCTTACTATTCTTTCTTCATTTTATTCTATCTTTAGATATATATCCAGTGAATAAAGCTGTCAAATATGGTACAATGTGTAACAGTTCATGATTTCAATTTATCGACCTCCAGATGTCAGAAATTTTTATCCTTTGTGATAGGAGATATGTTCGTTAACAAACTGACTTTATCTTAATTATTCTGTTTGTTAGGTAAGTGACTATCTCACTGGGAATTTCCACTTCATTTCCCATTAATTATTTCTCATTTTCCCCCGTTTCTGCATCCTATCCCGAAATTTATGTCACTTTACACTATCATCAGAAATTTCACGCTTTTTAAAGTTGAGTACATATTTTGGTGCAGTACTCCTGCAGCTAAAACCAAGTAGACAACTAATCAAGAAACTCGATCAAATAATTACTGTATTACAACTATATGGTCTAACGGTGCCAGTTTACTGCTTTCAGTTAATCTAATTTAGTGTACTGGATCCTATCAGAAACTTCAGATTACTCAGTCGATCGAAGATTCTGTCTCATTGTAAAGTATACTGTAAAGACAATAAAACAGATTATTAATTTATTTTTGAGATGAACGAGGATTTTTAATTTAGAAGTAGTATTCATCATGAACTGAAATCAGTTAAGGAACCATGGGAAATCTGGGAGCACTAGATAGCTGTTTCGTCCTAGTATGGGACTTCTCAGCAGTACGCACCCACGACCCGGCTAGGGGTCGAACTCAGGACCTTCAGGTTTCACGGCGAACGCTTTAACTATTCAGCCACTGGGTCGGTTTCCAGTGGTTCACAGTTTCCAACTTCTGTCAATTCACAACATAGTGCGTACTGCTGAGAGAGAAAAATGAGAACAAACTTGGATTAAGTAAGTGCTGATTTCCATTAAAAATAAAGCCTACAAATTGTTTCGAAAACACAATCGAAAAATATCTGCGATCTCAAACTAGAAAATGGTTCACAGTTAGAATAGTGATTTTTCCGGCAAATTTTCTGCCACTCTAGACAGCACAGGGATTCAAAAGTTATAGGTGAGGTTGCTATTGAAAAAGATTCTCTTTATTTCACCTGTGAAAAGAAACAGCAAGCTGGCGCAAATAAATGCGTCAATTATATAGGTGTGATTAACATAAATATCGTGGTTATTTGACAAAATTCTTCAAAGAAACAACCTTATTTATTATAATTGCTTGTATTATACCGTGGCTAGCCACTATCCATCTTGACTATAACTTTATTTATGTTCTAACAAAGTCCCCTCGATTAAGAAGGTCTTAGTTCCAACATATTGTGTTCAATACAGATACCGAAGAGTCTTAAAATTTAAGTACAACTACTGAGACTAGTTTCTTGAATGTGTTCTTCAAGTTGCTTACGTTTTAACACAGAAAGATGCATCACGATACGGAGCAAGGCAGCCTATTTTAGGAGGATACGGGAATGAATTATTGCAAAGTTTGTTAGATAACTATAATGATCTGTTAACTTCTTAGGAATATGTTTTTTTCTTTATCAGTGGCATCCACTAGAAAGGTTCATTTTCACTTCTTCATGCAAAGACTTATTCATCTGTGAACAACCAGCCATCAAACCGTCAACAGCTGTGAGAAATTTTCAACCCAATTCAAAACTTGAAAATAAGTTTTTCATGTAACAAAAAGTTATTGCAAGTACAAACCATCTCTTACTAATAGAGAAAATAAAAAAGGTGTAGTGATGAGTTGAACAAATCACCTTTTCTTAACCATATCTTAGTATGTTAACTGAGACTTTTCATCATAGGACTCAATACAAGGACAAGTTAGGTCAATTGTTAATACTTACTTAATTAAGTTTTCATTATCCACTACTTTATGGATGAATCTTATTACAGTGTTGTTTCTTTCTTCCATTTCCAGAATACTGTGTACACGAGAAAGAGAGAAAATTCTTTTCAGCTAACCAACTGATATTGTCGTATCGTCGAAGTTACCATTTCTGTCTCTATTTCAAAACATATAGAAATCAGTCACAACTTGTACCTTAAAATCATTTCATATTTTTACTCGCTAGATAACTACGGCAGATTAAGACTTGAACTGTCTTTGAAATTCCATCTTCAGTACTTACAAAAACTAGTCAGAACTACTACTTAGTTATCCTTAAGTAGTATGTACAAACTGTAAATTTTCTTTCTGCGAAATAAATTTTTAACGAAATCTATATGTATATAAACTTGAATTTTCACGTATTCAAAATATTTATGATTCCAGCTAATCGAGAATACCTCAGACAATCACTGAAACTGTTTATCAACAGAATATGCATAATAATTCGTCCTATAGTAGCTAGCAGTGGAATATATGACACGTGTTTCGTCCCATTTGAAACTCTTTGGCTGGATGTACATGCACCGCAGTCAGTGAAGCTGTTTCAACTGAAAGTCGGTCTTCATGGCGTTATCCATTATGCCACCGAGGTACCATACCCAAATCTTGTACAACGAGTCTTAGTTCTCACTATTTGTTCATATATTTGTAATTCTCCGTTGTAATACTGGTTCGAATTGTTCGATCTCTGTTGCCAGATGGGCTCCTACATGGATACCTCAACACTTTTTGATTATTGCTTGTGTTTTAACTACAAGATAATGAGTTACAAATAATGTATACAACATGATCAATCACTAGACAATACTGAAGCATCTGCAATGGGAAGTATACGTGAAGATAGGTCAACCAATTCGATCCAGTATACATTACTGGTTGACGTAAGTACTTGGGAACTCTTCACATCAACCAGCTTTGTGCGTTAACCAGTTCCATACGATATAAAGAATAGCTAGACACTGAGTTTATTGCAGGAACAAAGTAATCGAAATTGTACTGACAGTGGTCCTTGATAATACTCAGTTTTCAAATCTAGCTGCTAATTAATATTCAGTAATATTTACACTGGTTGTAGTAAACTGACTGAATATGTACTGTCATGAATGGTAAAGAATCATTAAAATGTAATGGGATAGCCATAAAGAATACTCAGATAAGGCCTTGCTTGATATGATGAGAGATCATTTGTGGTGAACAGAACTGAACAGAAATTGAGTAGGAAGTGGATAGAATGAAAAAGTGGATGACTTCAAAGCGAATAAACAAACAAACACAAATCTGACTTCAAATTAGAATTATGAGAGAGGAAGGGGGTGAACAAGTTTATCCTGTGTACATTTTCTATGTGGATGTCATTTTTCTGCAACTTTACCGGATAATGTTCCTGGACTTTTTTGGAAGAATATACTCATCTTCCTCCAAAACAGCAAGTGGTCTGATATGTGGACATAAAAATTGAGCAGATATGATACTTGGTCCCTTTAATTATTGCAGAACAATAGTTGGCATGTGAATACCATTCCCAAAATTAGTGGAAATAATGTTCTCCGAAAAGCGTTGGACAACGTTTTCTCTAATGTCACACGTGAAAATCGTTCTCAATTTCGACTTCATAAATAGAATAAATCATAGATTTCCATCACATAGCGTACAGTTGACTGTGTAATAGGGCTCAGAAGGACTCGCATAGTTGTCAGTAAATGTTAGTGGAGGATGGAGGCTAATAGTGGAATCCAGAATGCATGTTTCATCTTATTTGGTACTCCTCAGCTGGATTTACTTGTCTTCCAGTGTGTGGTGTTGTTCCTTGGAAATAGTTATAAAACCTGACTCCGGATTTTCAGTTATCGAAAAGCATGTAGTTTTCAAGGTAAAAGCTGTGTTGGTGATGCAAATCTTTACTACTGTAAAGAAGATCGCTTGCATTACTTAATTAGAAAATAAACAAAAATGAAATATTTAAAGGAGATAAGTGGATAAGATGAAAAAACTAGTTATCCTATCATGTTAGAATATAAATCGCCGATGAAAAGAATTATTTTAAACTTTGATAACCTTTAATGACACTTTCATTGTTACTCATAAACTAAACTTAAGTGGAACCAAAAATTGCTACAATAACCTTAAATTAAACTGATTAAGCCTTGGAGAGGTATCACAACCATAGGTTAGTCAAGAAAAATTTAGCGAAGTATACTGAAAATGAAGAATACAATACTTTTTCACCCATTTGTCGGATGAAAAACTTATATAGTGTTCGTAAGGAATTTTTTTTCAGCGTAATTTCTGTTTAGATGTGAATGAAAAGAATGCTGCACACTGTTCGGTACTTGTAATTTCCTGCTGCTGGACTACGTCGAAATGCTCGACCACTGTTGGTAGATAAGCTTCTATTTGGATGCCTCAATAATGCTGGATATTCGTGATGTTGTACTTATCTTGGTGACTAGTAATGGAATGCAGGACTCCAGTCTTGTCCGACTTAGTACTTATCAGCTAGAGTTACCTTCACCCTAGTGAGTGACGGTGCTCTCACTGAGGTTCTAACCCGACACTCAAACCCTAAAGCTTTACCCACTAGGCCACTGTGACACAATAGCCACTTGTTATGCAGCGACTGTTATTGTCATTATTATTATGACTTATTTTATTTTCCCTGTTATTCTAAATCCAACTGCTGAACCTCTGTCGACAGCTGGACTCCTACATAGATAGATGCCTCGATAGTACTGAATATTCATGGTGTCGTTTTAATCAAGCAACAGCTGACACCCGTTGCACAAGAAGTGGCTCTCATGCCCCAGCGATTCATTCGATAACGCTTTAGTGTTTAAAGCAATAAGTACTAGGTCTGAGTTTCAGTGGAAAACACTTCACTTAGTGGGGTGCAGGCCACTCCAGCCAAAGAGATACATTTCTGGTCACCAAGATCAACACAACCAACAGTGCATTACTGAGGTTGAAAGATTTCGAAACCAACTTTCTGTATTTATTAAGCATAGTCTGATCATACCTAAAGAATATTGCTTTCCATTCATTCTAATTGACTGGCAGAACTAGTGAGTACTTCATACATCATTAGAAATCATCTGAAAGATAGACTAATTTTAAATTTTTCATCACAATCTAACATCAACCAGAAAATGTTGACATTTCAAGGAGCATTGGATGGTTGTTTAGTCTTAGATTGGAATTTTTCAGTAATGTATGTTTAAGATATCATTCAAGTCTCCTTTCGGTTATTGAATTATTATCCAGTCACAATGGATAGAGTGAAATGGTCAAAGTTTCTAATCCTTCTTAATCAATAAATTGTACACACGTGTGAATAATACAAATAATCAGGCTTAATTCATGTTTTATATCCTTTTGACTAACTTCAAATGAACACAATTACTATATTTCTACACCATCCGTGTGCATAAATAATCGTAACAGTTCTGATTAGAATCATTAATTTCTGGTCTAAAATATTATACATATATATATATATATATATATATATATATATATATATATATATGACAATAAATTATAACTCGAATGTAATAAAACTTATATCTCATACACTTTGTATATCCACTCTTACAGGCAAATACGTTCTGCAGCAGAAAATAAGTGTACATGTATAGAAGAAAAGAAAGAGGAATCGATAACACGAATGATCATAATCATAGTACTATAGAAATAAATTATCTCTGAAAGAAATATTTATTAGATTTCCTCCATTGATTTAGATTACATTCCGTATATAGTAGACATAATGAATACATTTATGTATTTCACGGATAGGCTAGCTGATCCAAGTGAAAAATTTTGATTAAAATTGGACAGTAAAGAGAAAGAAAACAGTACAGAAATGTGTGAGAAAATCTTTCTTTTTTTCTTGTAGAATTATAGGAAGTGCTAGAAATAAAACAAGCCAAAAGACATAAAACTTAATCAATGTCAATAGAGAATAAATAACTTGTAAATAATCGCATATGTAATTATTGTTATATATGACACGTATGTTTATTGTCAGTATTTTTATAAAGAGATGATTACCTCCTGTTGTATAAAATGTACTTTTGTATAACTTGTGATTAGATTTTTATTATCCGATGATATGTTAATCTAAGTAAGCCTTTATCTAATTACTCTTTCCATTTAAGAATTCAGGGTACTATAGGCAGAAAAACAAGAGGATTTTCTTTTTTGAGCGAAAAGTAAGCGTTAACTAGCAAATTATTTGTAAAGAGTATTATTTTTGCTAATAATTCTCCCACAAATGAGGTGTTAGAAAGACTCTGAGTAAAAACCATCCATCCAGGATCGTATCATGAAATGCATTAAACAGTATAAGTAGTTTGGAACTATTTTCGTCGATTTCCAGTTTACAGGATTTGAGACAAAGTGATCCGTAAGGCAAATCATCAGTGTGTTCATTATCAGCAGAAGCTGCAGAGCTTAAATAATTCAAATTACAACGAGCACAAACCATTGCCTGTTTTCCTGTTTAGGTTGTTTCGTAAAGGAATTATCTTCTCATATCAGCTGAATGGTTGAAAAGCTATTCACATTTAAGAAATGCCAACATGAAGCATGTAGAAAGTAGATAATATGATAAACTAATGCTTTTCGTAGTACTTGAGTTCATATATGGCCAACGTTCTGAATTTTATTGATCATGATGTTTGAGCTGGCAAAGGTGAAGGCATATGGAATAACTCCTTGTTAACCTCTTCTTAAATGAATGAATTCCCTGTTTTGTTCCCACATTAGATTTGTTCATTTGATGTATAATACAGAGTGACACAGAATTATTTACTTGATTACGTTCCAAGCATAGATTATTGCTCATAATCATATCACAGTAACCACGCAACTGTCAACCTCTGATTCCTATAGTCCTAAGTTTTGTGTAAGTAAAAATTTTCATATCTCTGGCATAGGGATAAAACTAGAGAATTCAGAAATTAACCACAAAGTAACTATAATTCAGCGGTAGTTGTAGATAGATCAGATTATTTTAGCAAAACTGACAAACATATCCAAACATGATTATATGTAGAGATCAAGAAACTGATAGACACTGTCATAAAAAAATCAAAAAATCCACAAACAATCTGGTACTCCGACTAAACCCATCTCTAGGTGAGTCTAAATAGTTTAGTTCAATGCATAAAACCAATAATCCTAGCCGAATTTACAGTACTATTATGGTTCAGAAATACCGCAACATAGTAACTATCAAAGTGATTACCATTGATATTA